TTTTCTTTCATTACCATTCTTTGTTACTGTGTATTTTTAAATTAGTTTTGTTTTTTAGAGGTCAGTATTCAGGATTTAACAATTTATATTTAAAATGTTAATGTGAATATGTAATCCTCTTCTAAATTGGCATGAATTTTAGTAAAAGTTCTTAACGCAACTATTTCCCCCAGCATACACGTGTATTACATCTATTTGATTAAATAAATCAAATATATGGGAAATTACACTCTCAGTACACAGTTTCAGTCATCTTACCATTGAATGAGGACTTAAAAATGTTATCTTTGTTATACAGCACAAATGTATTTTTCTTTCATAAGGATTCATTATTTGCATTTTGTCTAATTTTCTTCCAGTCCCTATTCCTTTATAGAGTTATAGTCTCAGTTTCTGAATATTTTTTGGTAATGAAAACAGATTAAAATAGAAATTAAAATTACTTTTATGCCATTATTTTATTAAAATAATATCTACCTCCCTTGGTAGAGGAAATTTCGAAATAAGAATTTTACAAATGGAGGCATAAAGTACTGATTTACAGTTATTTTTTCATGTTTTAAAGATTACATTTTTACCAAAATTTACATGATTGTAATCTGGTGTATAAGTCTAAAATTTTCTATTTATCATTCAAAAATATCCAAAGTGAAATAAGAGTTCAGGGTGAAAATGTTTCTGTTGTGCCGCAGAGCCAGCCACTGGAGGGTGTTTTAACTTCTGTTGATCTCAATATTCTGCGGATTAGATTGATGAAAAAGTGAGTGAAGGTTGTGCGTTTATAAGTCATCTGAAATTAAATCAAAGCAAAAGTAGTATTTATGTCTAAAATTGAAATAAATGGGAAAGGAATATAATTTTAAACCTTAAAGGAAAAATATGTAAATTCTAGAATTAGTAAGCAAATAACTAATGTTCCTTTGGTTTCTGCTCTATGACACTAGTCAGAATATTACTGTATTTTTGAATATACTTAAAAATTTTGTATGCAGTTATGAAGCTCTAAGAAGTCCAGAAAGGTCCCAAGTTAATTTACTAAACTTTTTTGATATTACTATGATTTTCATTTAAATTCAGATATCCTATGAAGAATTTGGTATGTGTATTTGTTCTATGAATTCTTCCTTATTTTAAATCTGTTGCAAAATTTCTCTTATCAATTGATATGCTTTTAGCCAATTGTGATAAAAACAAATATCCATGAGAGGCTGGTGGTATATTTTGTCCTGAGTGGACTTTGAATTCAAGCCTTAAGATAAGTAAGTAAGGTGAACTTCCAAGTGATTGACAGTAAAGCACTAGCTTCATAATCATTTAATAAGATTTGTATCATTACATTTATTTGTTAGCTCTCAGTTTTAAAGACAGCAGGATTCTTAGAAATTAGCTTATTACCAGTTTGAAAAATGACTTTAGGGGTTTATTCTGAGGCTATAAACTTTAAATTTTAGATAATTTTTAATTGATAAGATTTTTGTAATGATTAGAATCTTCAGAAACAAAAATCTTGCTGAATAGCTTCCTTATTCACTTTTTAAAAACTTACAGGAGTTTCAGTAGAGTAAAATGATGATTTTGAAATCGACTGGTTTTATTTTATTAATTATCAACAGTAATAAAATAAACTTTAAATTATATAATTTTTCTTTATTAGAGTAATAAGCCATACAGTTCTGTGCAGCTAGTAGGCAGTATTTAATGAAGAATGGAAAGATAATTTTTTGTTCAGTAGAAAAATTTTATATTTGATTTGATTTCATAGTTGGGTAATTATACTTAGAAATATCATTTTTTTGCTTTCATAAGTTGTTAAAATATTTTCTACTCAGATAAGTCTGTCTTTATGTCATAAAGTAAGTAAATGACAGATATCAGATCTATAAGCCAACATTAAAATTCACTATAATATGCTTGGCCCCAAGCCAGAAAGCTATGGTTCATTCTAGAAATGTTTCTGGAACAGTGAGTAAATGATTTTGGAAGATTAGAAGATTTACATTTTAAATACAGTGTCAATAATCTGTACCTTGCCATGCATAATTTGCATTGCCAGATGTGCCAAGGTCAGTGTTTTAACTGTATACATCTTATTTATTTTTTGAAAATACTTAGTAAGTCTTGAAGGGATTTATGCTTGAAAAGAAGAGTTTGAGAGAAAGTATGTTAATAGTCTTATTAATAGTATGGAAAACAGTCCGTTTTGTGGAGCATGATGCACTCTGTCACATAGAAACAGTTTTTTGGATGCTTTCATAGCCATCTGTAGAGGGTGGATCATTGATTATACATCAGTCACATAAAAAAGATAATTTTGACATTATCTTTCCTTCCCTAAATAATACCTTGCTTCTATAAAATGTTGTGTTAGCTTGATCAAATCATTATAAAGGAGTTTCAAAAGGGGCAATTAATAAATGTATTGCATAGTAAATTTATTGTCTATGATTTTATTTTAGTATTTTCTGTTGACATAAAAATTTTAAGAACAGATGATCAGCAATCTAGCCTGAGAATAAATGATTATTTTTCCCCTCTAGTAATAAAAAATTAATTTTAATAAACATATTTTAAATCTATCCATTTCATGTGATTTAGTCACTAAATAACATGTCCAAATTTCTCAGACACTCTTAATGACTATGAAGATATTATTCTTCAGAAATTTGAGGTTAACTTTTATATATTTGCTTTTGTACATTTACAGTTGCCAGGTATCCCAACCAAAATCTATCATTTTGACTTTTAGAAATTGTCCTAGCATCATAATTTCTTATGAGATACTGGATTTAGATTAGTGGTAGTAGTTGAGACAACAAGAATGATTCCAGGATAAAGGAACCAAAATTCTGTCCATTTTTGCTTCAACAACAAAATACTTATTATATTTTTTTAAATTCATGCATATTGTATTTTTAAGTACGTTCATATTTTCCTTAATGTATTTAAGTTAAGTGGTACTTCTTCCCAGCTAAGACTTATTCCTTACTATATATCAGACATAGTGCTATGTGTTTTACATATACCGTATTTCCCCGAAAATAAGACCTACCCATAAAATAAACCCTAGGAGGATTTCTAAGCATTTGTGCAATATAAGCCCTACTCTGAAAGTAAGACCTAGTGATAGGCATGACTATGCAGCATATCTGCACAACCCATGCATTTCGTGGCAGAGCGGTAAAAAAGACAAGCAGCCCTTCTTATCTGCCCCATAGTGACAGCTGCTATCCCAGAGGTGACCAGAAAGGTGCGGGCAGCCCCACCAACAGGGTCGACTCCCCCTGTCAGGTCCCGGCCATCCTGTGTATGCTGCAAGCTGAGGCTTTGAGGGGAAAATAATACATCCCCTGAAAATAAGCCCTAGGGTGTCTTCTTGAGGAAAAATAAATATAAGACCTTGTCTTATTTTCCAGGAAACATGGTAGTTGTCATTTAACATGTTTAAATGGTTAAGGGTAAGGTACCTCATATAAGTGGAATTATACAGTATTTGCTGTTTTGTGACTGGCCTATTTCACTTGGCATAATGTTTTCAAGGCTCACCCATGTTGTAGCATGTGTCAGAATTTTATTTTTAAGGCTGTGTAATGTTGTGTTGTATGCATGTACCACATTTTGTTTTTCCGTTCATCTGTTGATGTCTTCTAGTTTTTATTGGTCTGAAAATGTATTTATTTTGCCTACATTTTTAAAGGATATTTTTATTGAGCAGGAGAGTTTTAATTTGGGATTTATTTTCTTTTACTCCTGAAGATTCCATTCCTCTTTGAGCTTCCACTATAACTACTGAAATGTTAGCTGACAGTGTAACTATTAATATTACATCTTGGAAGGTAATCTCTTTTTTTTCCCTGTGGATACTTATAAGATTTTTTTCTTTGTTTTTTGCATAGGTGAAGGTTTCTTTTTATTTATCATTACTCACTATTCATTAGCTATCTTGAATATATAGATTAATGCCTTTCATCAGTACAGGAATGTTCTTAGCCATTAACCCTTTCAATAATTCCTCTGACCTTTGTTTCCTCCCATCTTCTAGGATGTCAATTACAAACTTGAAAACTCTTCTATATGTATATTCTGTGTATCTTACCCCTTTCTGTATTCTTCATCCTTTTGTCTTTTTATTGGTGCTTTGTTCTAGGCAGTTTCTTTTGACAGTCTCCCAGTTCCCCTTTTCTCTTTCTTGGTGTCCAATATGATATTAAACTTGTCCATTGAGTTCTTGTATTTGGTCATTATATTTGTCAGTTCTCAAATTTCTATTTGTTTCTATTTCATAGTTTTATATTTCACTGATGAAAATTTCAGGTTTGACTTTTATTTTCTTGAACATAAAGTGAATATAGTTTGAGTACGCTTTATTTCTGATAGTTTTAGGTATCTGAAATCCCTGTGTGTCTGTTTCTATAACTTGTTGTTTCTGTCAGTTCTTGCTTCTGGTGTCTTGATTCATCAGGTGCTGATTATAAATACTGTTCATTCTTGTTATTTATGGTAGCTACATCACCTAAAGTGGCCACAAATACTGAACGATTGCTTCTAGGAGAAATATAGGGTTAAGTACATGCAAGACTGATCAATACTTAAGTGTCTTAAGTGTGTTTTTGTTTAAAGATACCTTATTTAATGATGATAATAATTATTATTTTTAGAGATAGACTTTTTTTTCTTAGTAGATGACATTTTATTTTATTTTATTTTTTCATTTTACATAAGTATGTCTTTTTTTTTTTTATTTCGGCATATTATGGGGGTACAGATTTTAAGGTTTCAATAAATGCCCTTTCCCCCAGAGATAGAATCTTGTTCTGTCACCGAGGCTGGAGTGCAGTAGTGTAGTCATAGCTCACTGCAGCCTTGAACTCTTGGGCTTAAGTGATATTCCCACCTTAGCCTCCTGATTAGCTGGGACTATGGGTACACACCACCACAACCCCGGTAATTTTTTTCTTGTGTAGAAACAGGGTCTCGCTGTGTTGCTCTTGGCCTCAAGCAATCCAACGGCCTTGGCCTCCCAAAGTGCTGGGATTACAGGCGTGAGCCACCACACCAAGCCTTAATAAATATTATCTATTCATGAACACTGAACTCAACGGCCAACAGCACTATAAGTCAAGCCTAAATGAAGCTTACTTAAAAACACATATATTCCCTGTAAGGCACATTATAGCCTTCTTGTGCTGAGGAACACTAGACAGCAGTATACTTGGAGACTATTTTAAACAGTGAAATCACCAACAGAAAGCACAAAAATGTGAAAAACAACATAGCACTAAATACACTGGAGAAAAGACCATTGTTATAGCAGGCAAGCTGAAGCAAGAAGGCTGAGCAAAACCTTGTTCGGCCTAATCTGGGGACATTAGGAATCAGGTGATTAAAATTTTTTGCCATTCTGCCCAGGTCTGCAAATGACCACAACAGCACCCACAGTATTGATTTTTGGTTACAAGTAATTTTTAGTGAATAGGTGAATTTGCAAATACAGAATCTCTGAAAAATGAGAATTGAATATGTATGCTGGACATGGTTTTGAAAATTATTTGTAGAAATATGAAGCCTTGAATAAAGTTGTCTTCCCCTGAAGGGATTTTATTTTGTATCTGCCAGATGCCTGGGAGGCATTAGCAATCCCGGAGTACCCTAATCCAAGTTTAAAGCCTGAGGTTTTCTGGTCCCCTGCCATGAATCAAGGCTGCAGATCTATGTAAGATTTAGTTATTTTTTGGTTCCTCATTAACATTCGAGAATAGCCCTTTGTGATTCCAGCTTAAAGTTGGAGTTGGTTTATCAAAGTCCTCGTTTCATCTGACGTTTTAAATTGTGCTCCGTGGAGCAGCCATCTGAATTACCTAATCTGACAGTTCTTACAGAAGTAGAACCTTCCTTTCTTTTTCTCTTTCTAATTTTAATTCTTTCTGCCTTCTAATGATTTTCACATTGCTGTCTCTTCTCTTTCCTTCCTTTTTTTCTTTGGTTTTTGAAACATTTACTGTAATTGTTATAAGATAAAATAATTGTTCTCAGTAAAGTATGATTCTTAGAATTACACTAAAATGTAGCCTTCAGATTACTTTAGTAATATTACTAATATTATTTAGTAAAATTCATGGATTTTTTTTAAAAAAGGAAACCTGGAATTTGGAACAAGACCGTGAACTTTTTATTCTGTTTTTTCATAAAGTTACTCATTAGCCTTCATATTATTTTGGAAAAGTATAGGATAAAACATGATTTCTTAATTTAGCTTTCACTTAAGTTTTTTATTGTATTTTATAATATGGATTTTATAATATGGGATTGCCTATCATGGAGTAGTTAAATTTGATGGATCTTTTTTCTTATCAAATAAGAAAAGATTTCTTATCAAATCTGCCCTTGTCCCCCTTTATTCTGCTTTCTAGATGGCAGCCCAGTGATTATATTACAACTTAAGTTAGATGATTTGGCTTCTTTGCTCAGAAACCTCCTATAACTTCCCATTTCATTCAATAAAAACCAAAGTCCTTTTTGGGATCCTTAGGGTCTAGATGATCTGGCTTCTCATGACTTTTCTGACCCAATTTTCTACTAGTCACTCCCTGTTCTTCATGCTCTAATCATTTCAGCTTTTTTATCTTCCTGGAACATGTCATGCATTTTCTCATCTGAAAGCCTTGATGTTCTCTACGTCAAGAAAGCTCTTCCCCCCAATATCTGCATCTAGCTTCCTTATGTCATTTTAGTTTTCCTTAAAAGTTGCCTTCTTAATGAGACTTCCCTTGATTATCTTATCTAAAACTTTAGTCTTCCTTCCAAAGCATTGTATTCCCTCCTTTCCTGTTTTGTTTTTCTCCTTAGCAGTTATCATACTATATACTCTACTTTTTTTCTCCCTTATCAAAATATAAACTCCATGAAAGCAGGGATTTTTATCTACTTTTCCCTACTATGCTCCCAGTGCTTGTCAAAGAAAAGAGTATAATTATTGACTGAATAACGAATGAAGGAAATTTGTTACCAAAAGCTATTTAATTAAGAGCCTTAATTGTTAATTAGATAAATCTATATCAAAGTGCAAATAGAGAATATAAGTGTAAAAACTTTCAGATTGTATTTATTTCAGTTTTTATTTTGAAATAATTCAAATTTATAGAAAAATTGTAAGAGTAAATGCTTTTTTTCTTGATTCATTTGAGAGTTAGATGTTCCATTACCCCCAAATACTTTGGCACTTTTTTCTGACGAGCCAGGGATTCTCTTCTATAACAAGAGTGTTAACTATTACATCACGAAATTAATATGATTGATACATCTGTTACTACCATCTAATCTTTAGACTCCATTTAGATTTTGCCAGTTCTTCCAATAATGTCTTATTTTGCAAAGTTCTAATCTGGGATCTTGCGTAGCATTTGGCTGTCAGGGCTCTTTATCTCTGTTTGTCTGGAATGGCTTCACCGTCTTATGACCTTGGTGCTTTTGAAGATTACATACCAGTGATTTTGTAGAACGTGCCATAGTTTGGGCTTGTCTGATGTTTCTTCATGATTACATGTAGGTTGTACATATTTGGCAGTAATATCACAGAAATGATGCTTTGTTCTTATTCTATAAGTTGATACTCACTTTTGGTTTATACCATTACTACTGATGTTAACTTTGATCACTTGATGAAGGTAGTGATTGCTGGTTTTCTTCAATATAAAGGTACTTTTTTCTCCTTTGTTATTATTTTCTAAAGAGAAACTATTATGTTCCATCAAACTTTCACCCATTAGTTTTAGCATTTATTGATGTTTCTTACCTGATTTAATTGTGACTGAGATGGAAGTCAAGTGATGATTTTCTAATTTGTTATTTTTTCTACAGTTGTTGGGATTATGCTATAAGAAATCTCCCCATTCATAGATTCATTGATTTATTAATATTTATATCAGTATGGGCTTATGAATTCTTGTTTTACTCAGTGAATGAGTCATAGTTCCTTAGTGTTACGTATTTTGGTATGCAAATTGTCTCAGATTTGGCAAGTGGGATTCTTTTCAAATTTCTGTGTACTTTAACATGTTTCTTAGCATTCTTTGAGCACCTTCTGTCTCTGGCACAATAAGATGTTCAGGTTTATCTTGCAATATCCCTGCCCCACACCTGGAATCATTTATTTTACAGGAAATCATGATTCCATTTTGTGTGAAGAATGATATTTAGAACCCCAAATCTGGATACTAATTGTGTTCCTTGTATTGAGTGTCACCGTTCTCAGGCCCTTTCAGTAAAAAGAACTGGGAAATATATGTATGTATGTACATATTTATTCTTACATTAATTTTTGCATCTATATATTGAAAACTGAGTTTGCACTGATATCTTCACTCCTAACACCATAGGGTTCATTTTAGTTTCACCCTTTCTATGTTTATAACTTCCAGTGAGAAAATGGGGTCCAACTACAATATATTACATATATGATCAGTCTCCTATATGTAACCAGTCTTTCAATCATGCTGGCTACTACTCCTGGTGGTCACTTCCTTGATTATATTTGACCCTTTCACCTAGTTGCACCCTAAAGGGCCTGCAGATTTGTAACTCCTTTGCCCATGCCTAATGATTTAAGGAAGAAAAGGGTCTTCACATTTTAATGCATACTTTAGGATTCTTTAGCCTCATGCTTTGTGCTTTTAGGAGAAAATGCCTTATACTAAGGGGTTCTTTTCATGTTTTAGTAACTGTCCAGTTTTGATGATGTGGATAAGTCTTAGACTTTCATTCTCATCTTTATGAACATGGTTTGCTGTGTTCTGAGCTTATCTAATAGCTAACTTAAAGCAAAGCTCATTAAACTGTGTTATGTAAGAAAAGAGTTTGGAGGATCCTAGGAGATTTTTTTGTAATTTCATTTAAACCTCTGTTAACATAGAGAACATGATTAACATGAAGCTCACTTAGCTAATAGTCTTGCTCTCTGACCAGCTAATCTATCAATATACTAGTAATTGGAACATTTCAAAGATATACTTTTAACTCTTAATTTCTGATGTTTCAGGTAGGTTTGCAAATGGGACAAAAGGCAGGCAAAGAACAAGAAGGCACAGTATGAGAAGAATTAAAGGATCTTGAATGATGTACTTATTTGTTAATTTAGCAAACATTTATTGATTATTTCATGCATATTAAGCTGTTCTGCTAAGAAGATTGTGTGTCAAAATAGATAGTGTTCTTGCCCTGATGGAATAGTTTCTTAACCTCAGCATTTTGAACCAGATAATTCTTTGTCATAGGAGGCTCCCCTATGCATTTTAAGATCTTTAGCAGCATCCCTGACTTCCACTTACTAGACAACAGCAGCACTCACTCCCCTACCTCCATTTGCAGTAACCAAAAATGTCTCCATATATTGTCAAATGTCTGCAGGGAGTCAGCAGCAAAATCAGCACTCCTGATTGAGTACCACTGTACACAGTAAAATCAAATACAGATATAGACATTCAACAGCTAATCATTCAGTATAATTATCAAGTGTGATAAATGCTAATTATGAAAAGTACAGAGAGCCATGAAACTGTAATTAACCACCTAGCCCATTGAAGAGTTTAAACTTGATATAACAGACAATAGAGAACCACTGGAGAATCTTGATGAGGAATATATCATATTGAAATGGTTACATCTTCTGGAAGAAACCATTTATTTTTACTCCAAACGTGATACTGCCAACATTAGGTTACAAAAGAACCATATTATGCAGCTATCAAGTACATATACTAAAAGAAAATTTCTTTCTTAAATTAAACCAAAGATATATAAGTCTCTTATCCAAAACTGATTTCCTAGGGTCATTCATATACCTAAGTGGATATTGCAAATTTCTCTTGCAATTTTTAGGGTCAGTTATGAAGTTACCAGGAGATTTAAGAATCTGTATGTTTAGGAAGAAAAAAGGGAAGAAACTGAAGGAAAGAAAAAAGCTCACTGCTTTCAGGTCAGTGCTAGCCTGCTTATGTAGGTGCCTTATGCATCCAAATACTTACCTTATATTCCCTGCCTTTCTTTTAAAATGTTGCTTTTATTTTAATTTCATATATACTTAAGCTCCCATAAATTATACATTTATTTGTTAGTAGTCATTCTATTTAAAGATTTTAATTACTTTTAAAAAGGCTTAGAAATGTTCTTTTACTTATTTCTTTGAAACAGGTTACATTCTTCTTGTTGCCTGCTGAGATCAGATGGTGGTGGAGGGAAGATACAAAATTTTGAAATATGGGACATTTGGGGAAATTAAGGCAGATCAAGATGGTATGATGCAATAGAAGAAGCAAGAAGACCTTAAAACTGGTAGAAATAACAAAAGGGAGTATATATTGGGAAAAGAGATATAAATTATGCCAAAGGTCCATTTGTCTATTTTGGATATCTACTTAGGGCCAATTCCGTGCCTGGGAAGAGAGATGAAAACTTTAACTTCCTTTTCAAGGGCCTAGAATTAGAGCTGGTTTAGCTGGTACTAACTAGTACTGTTTAACTGAGGTAATAGACCTTTGTGATGACATCCTCAAATTTAAGTATTTATAGCATTATTCTCTGGAACAAAGCATTCAGAGTACTCAAAGTTTACTAGTGAGCTTACAGAGTACAGACCACTTATAAACCAAGGGACTACCTGAAAAGTGTTTGTTATTTAAAAATTTAAAGTCTATTTGAGTTTGAAAAACTAAAATGAAAAGTTGAAAATACCAAATCTAAGACTTGTGTAAAATGGAATTTGGCAAGTGATTAATCCTTAAAAAGGAGTAATTGTTTTATCTATTTTAGGGAAAAATTAATTTAACAAACCTATTATTATGTGAAATTTAGGTAATGAACATGGGCAGTACATAATTTCCGTAACATTTATAGCATCAACCACAAAAAAGGCTGAATTAGTGTCATCAAATACAAAGAATGTTCATTTCAGAATTAGAGCTGTTCGGAAAGCACTGCTCATGGTTACTATAATTCAACATTTCAAGACTATTTAAAATTGCTATGTCATATCAGTTTAATAGACGTACCTTCCAGATACCTATATGCTTGATTTTGGATAAGTATTATACTTTTTGTATTTTTCAATATTGAGTTTTGTTTTTTTTTTTAGTTAAACATGTTCTTTCATCCAATAACTTTTGGTTTTGTATCAAAAATAAAGAAACTTTAGTTATGTTAAATAATAAAACAGAGGTCTCCCAACCTGCACTGTTTTGGACCATGTAGACAGTGTTAACCTAGCTCAGCAGCTGACTGTGATTGACTAGCCAGACCTCTGTAGTTGCCCCCACATTTCCCTGGAGCTAGTAGAATTTTGGTTGGATGAGGTATCAATGTAAATAGCAAATTGGCTAACTGAAGTGGTTTTAGACAGTTGGAGGCTCCAGAGCTAAAGTTCCTAGAGGCTATCCAATCTCCCAACACCCCTGATACCTAAGAACTCAACCTTGAATAGCTATATCATGCTTTTCTGTCCCTCTCCCCCACTGCTCTGTTCCCCTGTGGACTGGGTCCTGTTTCAGCTCTTCCATGCATGTCCCAGGCCTATTCCTGTAGACAAAGGTCCATTCAGCAATAAATATTTCTGCCTTTTCCATTTTGCATTTGTGAATGAGTCTCCGTGTACCTCCCAGATCAAAGTGCCTCTCCCCCACAACAGTGGACAAGATTTGCCAGAGCCCTATAGCAGAATATCTTGACCCTCTCTTCACTAGACTAAGGAGGAAAAAGAAAACAACAAAATAAGAACAAAGAATTTATCATTTTAAAAGAAGAATATAGCATTCCTCCCCGCCCCTCCAAAAGAAATGAGAGACTAATTTCATACATAAAATGTAGGTACAATTGCATTTCTTACAGGATTACTCATTAAAGCTTTCTTAATACTTAAATCCAAATCAAAGCATTTGGCAAGAATGTCCACTTCATTTATCATTGCCTTGGATATACTTTAAAAAGTCTGTCACAGCTGGTCTACGAATGGATTTTTGCACACACTAAAACTTGTATTGTGGCAAATGTCTTCATGTTATAAGACTTCTGTAGATGCTTAAAATGTTGTTCTTCATGATTTTGTCCTGATAACTTTCTAGAAATTCTTCCCTTTTATAGTCTTCTTTTTTTGAAAAGCATTTTAAAAAGCTGGCATAAAATTATAGTGCAATTTTCATAAGTAAAATTAGGCCAGGTAGTTCAGAATTAGAAAATTAATCTTTTTCCAAAGCATTATCTCACTTCCTATATGTGTTTATAACCTAGTAGTATCAGTACCAACAGCTAAAATCAGCTTGTTTTTAAAAATATTATTTTATCATTTCTCTTTAATGAATTGACAGTTACTCATGTATTAGATAGCCTTAATCAAGAAACATTTACTAAGAACCTACTGTGCAATAGTAGTATGTTTAGATTCAAAGCATTTTGAAGAAATACCCCAAATTGGAGCACAAAGGTATTAAGCTTGCTGTCCTTTTAAAATACAGTGTGTGTTTATGAGAGAGAGAGGAGGAAAAGGAGAGATTTAATTCATTACAGACAGTGAATTATGACTGGAAATAATCAGGGTAAGTTTAATCAAAGTAGGTTTAAAGCATTATTTTGAAGGAAGGGGGAGGGTAGATTAGTAGAATGTAAATTTGGGGTAAATTGACAGGCAAATCAGTTTCCATTTACTAACTGAGCCACTTTCCTCCATAGAAACAGAACTTTTGCCTTTTTGTTTTACTGAAGTATATATGAGGCCATATTGCATTTAGTCTGTATAAGAAAGAGAAATAGTTGGAGAAGGAGTTGTGAAGGAGATAGGAAGAGAATAAAAAGATCACTGCACTATAGAAGCCAAGTGAGAGCAATTCTCACAATATTATATAAGGATTTAAGGAGAATGAGACTGGTAAAGAGGCTACTGATAGCCTCATTAGTGACTTTCTAGAGATCAGTTCCAACAGAGTAGTGATGATAAAAAGCAAATCGCCAAGAGTTGAAGAGTAAATGGATATTGAAGAAATGGAGAAAGTCATTATAGTTTTTTCTTTTGGGCTATTTTTTGATAAATGGAAACAAAATAGATTGCAGCAGGCCAAAGAGAGATGGGGTGTGTTGAGCATGTTCATAGGTTGAAGGCAAGGAGTCAAAATGCAGAGGGAGATTCAAGGGAAGTATAATCATTGAATTAACCAAATCATAGAGATAACACTAAAAACAGGATACAAGAAAAGGGGCTCTTGAAAAGGAGGATGTATTTGTCTTCTTTTGAAGAAAAGAAGGAAAAAGGATATTCCAAACAGATTTTCAAATGGAGAGCTGGGAAGGTAAGGTTATTCACATTGAGTGGTTTCTTTGTTTTCTAGGAAGTAAAGTTATTATAAAATGTGAGATGGAGTTTGGGGAAGAGGGGTTTGAAGAGAGTAAAGAAGATGTGGCATGATTGCTTTGGAAAATAATCATATGGTCAAGACAGCTAGAGATGAATGAAATAATTTCCCAGGGTTGCATGAATTATGATAGATTCATTTGGCTTAGTTTTATGATTAATATAGCAATAATCAGAATAGTTACACATAAAATATATAATATGTGTGGGATAGAGACTGATAAAATGTGTGCAATGAAAGAAAAAATAGATGAGAAAAGTATAGGCTGTGGATTCCATAAAGAATGAGATAAGTAGAAGGGAACTTTTGGATTGAGAAAATAGGGAGAAACGAAGGACTAGAGATGGTAAGGGAAAGGAAGGAGGAAGTTCAGTAGAAGTGAGGAAATTGGAACATTTGCTTAAAATATTAAAGTTAGCATATTTATGCAACAGTATTTGACAGCCTATGGTGTACTGTTAATTTGTATTTACATCAGATGAAGTACCAAGTACATATTGTTCAATGCAGTTGCCACTAGATGTCACTCTGACTCATATGGTAAGACTAGCCTTGACACATACTCAAGATTCAGGGCTTTCAAAGTCAGACGTATATAAACAGGCAGTCAATCTTTAAGGGCCTATGCAGATGAATTGTCTATTATCCAGACATCTTATTCATATAATTACTTTTGAGAAAATATCTCATTTGAACAAGAGCATACCCTCAAATTTGAAAAGTACATGTGATTAATACTGTTTTTGCATAGTCGATTTATTTGTACTGTGTTAATTGCACTAAATAATATTCCTCGAATGACTTTTAAAATATTCTGAAATTCTACATCAAAATTTGTGAAGTTGTTTTCTTTCCTTAAGAGTGTTTTAGTTATTTGTCTGTTAAATTGGTTCTGGTTTCATAGGGACTAATGAATTTTTATAAGCACTAATAAAGCTGCTTATTTCTAAGTGGTCGGGATTATGTGTGTCAACTCCAAAGCTGTGAGTGTAAAGTTTTTCTCCATGTGACCTTTCTGTCCTCAACTAGAAGGAAGAACATGGTATCTATCTGCTCTTTTTGTTTTTCACTCTCATTCTTGTTTTCTGTCCTAATGAGTATAGTTTTGCTTCTTTATTTTCATGTTCAAGTAGGTCATTATTTAGAAAGCTTTTCCGACTTCTTGCCTATCCACAACGTTTTCTAACTTGGTTCTTTCAAAACTTCTGAACAATTTTGGACAGCTATGTAATATATTTATTAAACAAACATGCAAAAAAAGCAGAAAAACCAACAAATAAACCATATTGACTTCTCCATAAACATACATAAACAATACCCAGGCAGTCTATATATTTTATAAGATATACTTATGTTTGTATGTTTTCATTTATGTTAATTTTTCTTCATTTGACAGAAAGATGTAAGATTATACAGCTTTGCTAGAACTGTTGGATCTCAACGTAAAATAATTTACAGATCATTATGTAGGAAAAAGTATAGCATCACATTTTTTGCATGTGATATGCCTAACTCTATATCTCACTGCTTTCCATAGACCTCATTTCATTACTAACTCTAACTTACCTTGTGAGATTCATCATGATCTTAAATCATTTTTAGCCTTGTTTGCAAGAAACCTATACTATGTCTTAAATGAACTGTCTTAAATTTATCCCTTTTGAATTTTATTGTGTTTATGGACAAAGTCAGTTTATATTTTAATGTGGTTTTCAGTGGTACCTCCCATGTAAACTAACACTTTCATTTGGAAAAGTACCCTGCTTGCTAACATCACTATAATCTATATAAAAACAAACACAATTCAGGAAAGCTTTTTGCATTAAGTGGCTAGGAACAGAACTTGTGGCACAAACTTGGTAAGCCACAATGAAGCAACAATATTTATTATTTGGAATAATTGGCGGAAGATGCCACTGCAACTTGCTTTGAGAATTGTAAGACTTTCCTTGACTGGGAAAAAACTTTTTTATTGATTTTTAAGACCACATATTGCTAGGTAATATTTTTGGCCTATTCATTGAAGATCTCTTTCTTTAATCTCTTCATTATCTCTTGAGAAAAAAATAATTTTGCTTCGGACAAGTGAACATGAATGAGCTGCATTTGCTGAGGTGTATTGGGTAGAATGCTAAATCAAAAGAGGTAGGTCAGTAACAACTGCCCAGCAATGGCATCATAATTCTACTTTCCCAAAATTGTTTTGAAGCAGTCTTTATGAATTACAGACTTGATGATATAAAACATTAAAATAGGATGCAAAAATGCTTTATTAATGAAGTTTCTTGAAATTATTCTGTAATTCTCTTTTTATAGTCAGATTCACTTTGCCATATAACTTTCAAAGTAAAGCTTCTGACTTTTTTGTTTGTTTCTACAAAAAGTGTTCATTTCTTTGTTTGCAGTTTTATGATGAAAATATTATGTATTTCTTTTTAGGAATATATTCCTTTGTTGTGCTAGGAACAATACGTTTATTTAGATAATAGCTATCTACACTCTCTATCTCTAATCCCCAAAGGCCTTAACCTCCATTAGTAACAAATGTAGATTTTTGTTTGCTTCAAATAGCTTCCTGGGCATGTAAAAACCCTTTTGACATCATTATTTAGGGGCTCCCATCCTCCCAATGGAATCACACTCAAATACAAAAACTTTTGCAGCTGGTGAGCTCCCAAAGCCCCTTTTGATGATTGTTGTTAAACTCAGCATGGCAGCTTGCAGTTGTTGCTTTCCTATACTGGCCCACCCCACCCCCACGTTCATGTTCTTCATGACAATAAGAATTCTCCAGAGGTAAAACACAGGGCTGAAGATTTTTGGTGCCTTCTTCATCCTCCGTTCCTCCTAATTCATTTCCATTCTAAGCATATTCATAAAGCTTACTAGAGACTATCAAGGGAAAGATTCTCTCTCCCCCCATGCTTCATCTCTGATAAACTCATTTCTTAAAAAGCAAAACAAACTTTTGAATATCAAAGCATTAAATTTACTGAGCTTATAGGACTCCTCATCTTTTCTATAGAGCATGTTAGTTTTAGGTAGACTGGAAATCAGAGGTTCAATCTGCAGTTCTAGTTATGACTTAATTCTTCAAACTTGGAAGTTTCTTCATCTCTTTCTATGTTCTGTTAATAAAAAAGGGGTACATATAACCCAAGCTAGTGGAAATTAATGATTTATTAACTCAATGACATATTGGTTTATAAGAAATTTTCTCTAAAGTTTTCATTTTAAATTTAGCATTATCAATTATAGATTTATATTGGCATTATATAGAAGAAAAAACATTTACTCTAGATAAAACACGTTGAGCTCACTGAAATGTAAAATCAGAATACATTTTAACTGAACAATTAAGGATATGATTTAGATACTATGAAAATAAAAACCAACTGTAATTAAAGAAGATCTTAAAAGACATGGGACTGTGATAGACCAAGTTAGAGATGGATGTTAAATTACTGGGAAAATACATGTAGAGAAACATGTTAGAAAATAACATGTTTACTACCAATATTTGAGTTTAGTAAAAGAATTATCAAAATAGTGTTAAATGGAAATAAAAACAAAATAAATAGTTGTCTAATGTACGTGGAAGATCTTTTCATTTTTATTCTGTATAGGGAAATTGTGTTTTTGATGTTTGTTGATAATTGCATTGAAGTTGTGTCTAGAGTTAATGCAGGTTTTGCTAAATTAATTTTCTTGAAGTTCCAAATGCATTGATTTTTGGAAATTATTTTCAAGATGAATATTATTGCCACTGTAGACACTCACTTTATATAATTATATGTCTTGAATTAATTAAATCTAACTTCAAAGGTATATTGTAGGAAATTCCTTTGCATAGTAAAATCCCCATTCCTAGTGCCAGTGATGAAATGGGCATCAGAATGATTTAGAGGGAAGAGTGATAAATTCTTGTTCTGGAGAGCTGAGTACTAATATTCATTACCAGCTAGTTTTGTGACCCTAGGCAAATCACTTTACCTGATTTTTTGTAAAATAAGAGGGATTGACTTAAATCATCTCTAAAATCCCTACATGTTTTAGAATGCTGTGATATTTTAAAATCAATGATTTTGATGTCAGATTTCATTTTCTTAAAAGTTGATATGCCCGATACTTTTATTTTAGAACTGAGACCTTTAATAAGATAATTACAAGAAATTTTAAAACCTCCCTCATTAATTGTAAAAGAAGATCTTGAGAAATTAATGAAAATTTTTTTAAATGAATAAGGACTCAAGAGTACAGTTAATAAATGAGATTCCTGCATGGTGATGAGAGTAGCCATTTAAAAAATTACTATTAAACATAGTAAAGAATACTGGAACTAACAGGTTGTGGTGCAAAACATGATAAATTAAGAGATTCTATTTCTGTTACCACTAATAAATTTCTTAAGGTAAACTTTTCCTTTAAGTATTAGATACTTACAAAAAAAGTAAAAGAATCATAAAAATACAGCTCTGTGAATTTTCACGAAGTGAGCACAACATGTAACTAACACCTACATATTTAAAAATGCCAGAATATTACCACTACCTTATAAGCCTTCACTTCCTCTACCCCTCCAATCACTATGTTCCACTAAGCTAACAGGATGACTTCTATATCACATATTTGTTTCCTCTGCTTTTGAATATAGAATTATAGGGCTTTTTCCCCCAACATGTTTGTGAGATTTGTTCATGTTATGTGTACTAACAATGCATTCATGCCCATTCCTATATTTTATTTCCATTCTATTACTAGACCTCATTTTATTTATTTGTTCTACCATTTGATATTTGGGTTGTTTTCACTTTTTGACTATATGTCTTTGGATGTGTGTACATACATATTTCTGTTGGCTATGTACCTAGAAGTGGTACTGCTGGATCATAGAATGTGTATATGTTCAATTTTTGTAGATACTACTGGATGCATTCCTGAAGTGTTGTTGATTCTCTGCATTTCTACCAGCAGTTTATGAATTTCATTTGTTTTATATCTTCAGCAACACTTGAGATTGTCTTTTTCATTAGCTATTCAGGTGTGTGCGTAGTGATATGGTATTGTGATTTTAATTTGCATTCTCCTGATGAGTGATTAGGTTGAACATTTCTCATGTATTTGCTGCTCATTTGGGGCACTAAAATAATTTTTTATGACTTTTGCAGTTTGACAGATTCCTTAAGAGGGGACATTGTAAATTAGATATTATCTAAAACATTGGGCATAATCACTTGTTCTGTCTCTGTATTTGATAAATTGTGAAATTCTTTGAAAATCTTTT